AGGAATGCGGACATGATGGCTGAGGCCACCCACCCGGCCCGGCTTTGCAAGCCCACTGCACCCCCCTCTGAGCCTCCCAAACCCTCCCTGCTTGTGCCAGCCCCATGCCAAACTCAGAGATGGACCCAAGCTCCTGCTCCTGCTGCCTGGCACAGGGCAGGGGACTACCCTGACCTCTCACATCTCCCCGGGCAGGTGGATGAAGTTCGAGGAGAAGGTGGAGGATGGCGGGGAGCGCTGGAGCACGCCCCACGTCCCAGCCCTCCCCCTGCACAGCCTTTTCCAGCTGAGGACATGCCTGCAGAAGGGGACAATGCTCCTGGATCTGGACGTCCACAGTTTCAAGGAAATAATCAGTATGTGAGGAATGCAAAGGTCACCTCCTGGGATGAGCTGGTCACCAGAGAGGGACCAGGCCATCATGAGGTCTCTATATAAAAGCACTGATGCATGATAGCTGGGTACCTGGGGTAGCTATCTGCTGCTCCAGCAAAGTGGGCTTTTCCCTGGGTAGCCCTGCACCAGACAGTGAACCAAGAAGGCTCAGGGTCATCCCCATCCCTGTTGCAGACAAGGCACTTTCTGAGGAAGCAGAGCTGCAGCCCGAGGTGAGGGAGCGCCTGGCAGATCTCCTGCTCCGCCAGCCACGGCACCAGCCCACTAAATCTCTGCTGCAGCTCCTCGCCGATCTCGGCCTCTCTCTCTGCCGAGGTAGGCACAGAACCCAGCCATAGGTGGCAATATGGCTGTCCCACTGGGCATCCCTCCACTGCCAGCAGCCCAGAGCCATTCCCATGCTGGCCATTTGCTTGCATGTGTATTTTGCTGCTTGCTCCCTTTCTTTGCAGGGAAGGCCAAAAGCTGGTCTGAACCCGGAGCCCAGCTCTCTGAAACACCTCTTAAGGAGCAGGTAAGGCAGGACAGAGTTGAGCTGAGAGCAGCTGCTGCATCCCGAGTGCCCAGCCGCTGCATCCTTTTCCTTTCAGCTGAGGAACCGATTTCAGAAGAAGGTCCCACGAGGGGCTGAAGCAGCTCACGTTGCTGTTGGTGAAGTTGAATTCCTGGAGAAGCCCTTCACCACCTTCATCCGCCTCAGGCAAGGGGTGGCCCTCGGCTCGCTGGCTGAAGTCTCTCTCCCCAGCAGGTAAATGGAGCATGGCCAATGACCCTGCACCCCATTTCATCCCTGTCACTCTACTCCCTCCTGCACAGGACAAAGCTTTGCTTGGTGAAAGCAAAGGGTATGGCACCCAATGCCATGTGCAGTTCCAGAACCCTGGCTCACTGCTTCCTCTCCCGCTTTTCCCAGCTCCTTAGGAGCATCCCAAGACAGGCTCACCTAGGTTATCCCCACCTGGGCTCTGCATTCACTCTCCTCCTTAGGAGGGTCTGGATGCTCTCCACTTACTGCCTGGGAGCATGGGGGGCTCATGACTGGGAAGGGTTGCAGGTTTGCAGGATCTTCTTGCTCTCCTGCAGCTCATGATGCTCTCCTGAGTGGAGGGGTGGCTCTTGCGGCACTGTTGGTGTGGGGGGAAAGGAGCAGGGCAGGAGGTGTTTCTGCGTGGTTGAGGAATGCACAATTTGAAGCTGTAAGGAGAAACGGTCAGTATGCCCCTTGAGCTGGGGACTTCCTCAGAGAGCGTGCAGAGGAGGCAGGCAGGGATCAGGAGGGACATTGCCACCTCCTGGTCACTCTGCCCAGAGCACCCGTCCACCGAGAGCTGGGTGGAGCAGGACGTCCATCCACCTCCTGCTCTCTCCTTGGTGGGAGATGGGTGGCAAGTCCCCAGTGAGCCCCCACGGCTGTCGAGGGGCTCACGACAACCCCTTGCCCTGTATTTTCCTCCCCCAAAGAGGAGGGGAAGGAGAGCTTGTCCCTACCCACCCCTTTGCCCGTGGTGCTATTCCCTTTGCTGGCTGCCCTGGGCTGTTCTGTGGGCACAGCCACCGTTTCAGGGCTATCTCCCACCCAGATCCATCTCTAGGATATTAAGGTTTTCCCATCGCTTTGAAGACGATGCCTGGGTGAAAGCAAGCCCAGGTGGCTACCATCACCTTTCGACCCCTTGGAGCAGGCTCCGCGAGGCCTCCAGCACTGGTGCCCCAAGTCAGGGCTGCAGCAGTTTCTGTCGAGCCACCCTCAGCCCTGCTTGTGCTGTCAGAGGAGTTTCCCTACCCCCTCTCTGGCCATTTGCTCAGGGTACGATCACTGGAACTGCTCCACAGCCTCGGGGTACCAGAACAGTTTTTGCCAGTTTTGGAAAACAATGGAGGGCTTGGTTAAATATTTGGATGGGCTATCCCTCTAGAGACATTATTTTGCAGCACCTGCTGAGGTGTGGGATTTTAGCCATATTTCTTCAAGGACTCTGAGCTCTCTTTCCAGTCTCCTCCCATGTCCCCATAGGCCTATCCAACCTGCTGCTCGTGCAGCTTGCGTGCTCTCCTTCCTGATGCTAATGCTCCTGCATCCTGCCTGTGAGCAACATTTCCATGAGCATGAGCCCACAAACAGCACCAGTCAAGACCTTGACCCCACAGACATCCCCACCCCAGAGCTTGATCCCACAGACACCACCAGCTGAGAGCACAGCCCCACAGACATCCCCAGCCAAGGATGTCTCCTTCTCTGCCCCAAAGACCTGTCCCATTCCCTTCCAGCCTGGGTTTCTGCAGACCCTGCCAGCCAGCGTCCTGGTGTCCCATGGTCTCCCATAGGGTTTCCACTCAGTGGGCAGCAGACACGTGACTTGTCTTCTGCCCCCGAACCCCCACTTAGGGTGACCACCCCTTAGACCTGCAGCAGCCTCCCAAGCCTGCCCAGCCGCCTTCCCCAGCATCCTGCAGCAGCATAATCTCCCCTGGGAAAAGCATCCCCTGGCGAGGAGAGGGCTTCTCATGAGAATGCGCTGTCATACCCACAGGTTTCTCTTCATTCTGCTGGGTCCCCGAGCCAAACTGAAAGCCTACCATGAGGTTGGCAGGGCCATGGCCACACTGCTGACAGATGAGGTGAGCCTGGTGCAGCACTCTTCAGTGGGATGGGTCTGGAATGAAGCCTATGCTGAGGACACTGGGGGTCCTCTCCTCTGCAGGCTGCAGCAGGCAAGGCAGAGGATGGGGTGATATGGTGGCCTCCCTTGCCCTGGATAAGAAAACAAAGGTTTGGGGTGGGTCTGCAGGATGTAGGTGCACCCCTTGTACTGAAGTGGATGGATGCCTTTCCTGGTGATGGCTGCAGGCTCAGAGGAAGTCTCTGAGTGGCTGAACGCAGGGAGGTGGTAGCTAAACCACAGCATCTCCCTATAGCTCTTCCAAAGGGTTGCTCGGCAGGCTGAGCACCGAGAGGACCTCATAGCAGGGATGGAGGCCTTCCTGGATGAGGTGACTGTGCTTCCTCCTGGGAAATGGGACCCCAGTGCCCGAATTCCTCCGCCAAGCTGTCTGCTGTCTCTGCACAGGAGGTAAGCTGGAAGGAGGGCAACTGCAGCCTCTGTCAGCCCCTCTGCAGGGTCTCAGGTGGAGACCTCTGCCAGTGACCCTGAAAACTCCGTCTTCACGGGGATGAAACCACCCAGGAGCCAATCTTTGCCAGTGAGGTCGTCCCAGCCAAGCCCCTCTGCAGCTTTGGCCGATGACCACAGGTCTGGTCCCCGGTGCTGTCAGTTCTGCTGTCCCACTTGGCAGGGGATGGCAAAACTGCCTCCTTTGCCCTTCAGGCAGGAGCTTCTGGGAACGCTGGGTTTCAGCACTTGGATGTGAAACTCACCCTCCATGAAGGACACCTCCAGCTCTGCCCAGCTCCTCCACCAAAATCAGTCTGGCTAGGGCTGGCTCCAGGGTTTGCTGGAGGAGAGCATGGCTGGGTTGGAAGGGACCCTTGAAGATCATCTAGTCCAATCCCCCATCTCTCCTCCTCCTCCTGATCTTTCTCCTCCTCGTCATCAGCAGGGGATGTACAAGATCCTCACAGACCTGCTTGCACCTCTACCCCATCTCCATCCTTGCTGCCCCCTCATAGCATCCCCTAGACACAGCTGGATTCTGAGGGCTCCAACCTGAAGCCTGTAATCTCAGGCTCTGTCTGCCACAGGCCCACCAGGCACCCACCGGATCAGCAGTCCCACAGCAATGGGGACATGGCAGCAGCTGGGGAGCGAGCTGGCCTGGGGCACCCACACTCCAGGGAGGAGCTGGAGAGGACAGGCAGGTGGGTGCCTGGAAGGACGAGAGTGGTGGGAGGTGTAGCAGGATGCCAAATTCAGGGCAGGGTGCTGGCTTTCCCCAGCCCATGGGACCACCACGTCCAACCACCCTGGGCTGGTGTCTCTCGGGAAAGGGACCATCCTCTGCCTTGCACCTCTCTCAGGGGGTGATGGCTGGCTGCAGGGGGGGCTCTGACATCTCCCTCCACTACCCCAGGCTTTTTCTGCTGCGAGACATCCGGCGGAAGGCACCGTGGTATGGCAGCGACTTCTCCGATGCCCTGCACCCCCAGTGCCTCTCGGCAGTGCTCTACATCTACCTGGCAACAGTCACCAATGCCATCACCTTCGGGGGCATGCTGGGGGATGCGACTGCCAGCATGCAGGTTGGTGGGGCTACGGGGTGCCCTACATCAACCCTGCTCAGCCCAACCCACAGGTCTCCCGGGTGCCCTGCTCCCACCAGTGCCTGGGCAGCCAGTGGTGCTCCCAGGGCATCCTGAGCATCGCCCAAACCCTGCATCCTTCCCCAGCCTCTGTGCTCCCCAGCCGCTGACCCTACACCCTGCAGTGCAGGGAGGTGCAGGCAGCTGCCTGCAGCTGTGCTGCTGGAGGGGACAGGTCTGGGAACCCTGTCCCCACCATATGTCTGGTGCCTGGCATCCCTCCCCTGCATTTCAGGGGGTACTGGAGAGCTTCCTGGGCACAGCCTTTGCCGGCTCCATCTTCTGCCTCTTTTCTGGCCAGCCCCTGACCATCCTGAGCAGCACAGGCCCCATGCTGGTCTTTGAGCGCCTCCTCTTCTCCTTCAGCCAGTAAGTACCCTGCCAGGGATGGATCCTCTGGCTGCTGCCTCCTGGACAGGGCATGGGCCACCATCATGCCAGGTGGGTGTCATTGTTGAGGCTTTGAGTCACCCTTCCCACCAGGGACCACAGCCTGGACTACCTGGAGTTTCGCCTCTGGATTGGGCTCTGGGTGGCCTTTTTTGGCATAGTCTTGGTGGCCACTGAGGCCAGCTACCTGGTGCGGTACTTCACCCGCTTCACCGAGGAAGGCTTCTGCGCCCTCATCAGCTTGATATTCATCTACGACTCCCTGAAGAAGATGCTGAGCCTAGCGGACGCCTTCCCCATCAACTGGCAGTACCGGCTCGACAACGTCACCTCCTACAGCTGTGTCTGCAACTTGTCCAGTTCTGGTGAGCCCAAGCAGCTGTGGGGCTGGTGGGAGCAGCGGGCTGCCACCCTGGGACCCTGCTGGCACCCTGCTGCCCAGCTAGATGGGGGAAGGTGCTGGAGGAGGAGGGGGCTGCTCAGTTCCATCCTTGCCTGCCTGACCACATTGGCACCTTCCTCCACTCCGCTCCATGCTGTCTGTCCACCCGTCTCTGCCTCCCGGCACTGCCCAGGCACCGGGCAGGGCAGCATCAGGAACAAGGGGAGCCTTGGTCTGGCTTCCGTGGCTCTGGGATGGGGGATGCCAGGGGCTGAAGGTGGGCATCCGGGTGAGTTTGTACTGCTATTTCTAGCCCTATCTGTAAATCAGAGGGTGTTTCTTAGAGCCTGAAGACATGTCCACACTGATGCTGCAAATGGGACCCACACCACGTACCAGAAGCATCAGTGCTGGGCACAGCCTGGGGCAAATGGTGCCTCTGAGTGGCTGGTGCTTCAGCCAAGCCCTTCACAGAGGCATCCCCCCTTGGTCTTCTCTGAGCATCATCCAGTGCTGGGACCTCAGGGGTCCCATGGGGCCTCATCTAGCACTCTGAGCCTCTGAGGAGAGCCTGAGGAGCCACACCAATGGCAATACAGTCCCAGTCATTTGTGATGGAATGTTCCCATGGTGCTGGCACACTGACCCCCACACCCCCTTTCAGGTCACAGCTCCGCAGGGAATGATACGCCACTCCCCTCGCTCCTGGCACCTCAGCAGGTACAGCCCCTGCTTCCAGGTGGGTGGGCGAGGGGCTGAGGTGAGCCTGAGGTGTCCGTGTGTGACCCCTCCTCGCCACCTGTCCTGTCCCCGCAGCCTGCTGCCACCCTGGCCAGGCTGAGCAGGACCCAGTGCTTGGATCGAGGGGGGCACCTCCTGGGGACCAGCTGCCAGTATGTGCCCGATGTTACCCTCATCTCCTTCCTGCTCTTCGGGGGTACCTTCCTTTCCTGCACCATGCTCAAGTGCTTCAGGAGCAGCCGCTACTTCCCTGCAGGGGTGAGCATCCTTCAGCCACCCCAGTGGCATGGCCACCCATCCCAGTGACATGGGGATGGCACCAGGTGTTCTGGGGCAGCTCCCTGCCCTGGTCAGCCCAGGCCAAGCCCTCTCCATCTGCAGGTGCGGAAGCTGGTGAGCGACTTTGCCATCATCCTGGCCATCCTCACTTCCTGTGCCATCGACGCTGCCCTGGGCCTGGAGACCCCCAAGCTCCTTGTCCCCAGTGAGCTGAAGGTGCCAGCAGGGTGGGCATGGCACTGCCAGGGAGTGGGTCTGTCCCCCCCACAGTGGCCATCCCGCCATGCTGCTGGGTCTAGTCCTATAGGGATGCGGGCTGCACCCCAGCAAACAAGATAGGGTTGAATCACAGCCGATCCCACACTCTGTAAATAACCTGGCTTGGTCCCAGCCTAACCACGTCACAGTACAGCTCATGTTGGAGCGAGAGGCACAAGCTCAAGTCCAGGCTTGGACTCCCCACCCTGGGTGTGGAGCAGGGCTGGCAGCACCTCAGAGAAGGTTGTGCTCGCTGCTATCTCCTTAGGCTTGCCATCATCAACTCCCAATGCCACCTCTTCCACCCGCTCGCAGGGGCACGTGCCCAACTCCTGGCCTGTGATGCCCAGGAGCAACCCTTGCTCTGCCACAGCTAGGGTGTCCTCATAGGAGGTTTGTGGGTCACACTGCTCAGGAATATCCTCAGGATGAGAGAGGATGCTCTTCCCTTCCCAAGGTGGAGCATCCCTGGGTTCCTGCAGGGCTCCAGCCTGGGCACCTGGGGCTGGTCCCATCACCTGGTTGCATGGCAGACCCCACAGGTGGGTGGCAGCTGCTGTGACCCTTCTGCTCTCTGCAGCCCACGAACCCCACACGGGGCTGGATCGTCTTCCCCTTCGGAGCCAATCCATGGTGGGTCTGCCTGGTGTCCGCACTGCCCGCCATCCTTGTCACCATCCTCATTTTCATGGACCAGCAGATCACGGCCGTCATCCTTAACCGTAGGGAGTACAAGCTGAAGGTGAGTGGGGCACAGCCAGTGGGCAGGACCCAGTCAATGGGGAGGACCCAGGTCCTGGCTGGACCCCATGGGTCAAGGGGGCAGCCAGGGGAGAACAGCACCCTGAACCGGCCAGCAAGGTGAGCAGACCCCACTGCCACCCCTCTGATGCTGCCAGCAAGATGGCTTGCCCCCAGCCCCACTGCCTCTCCTGTTGCAGAAAGGAGCAGGCTTTCACCTGGACCTCCTCTGTGTCTCCCTCCTGATGGTGGTCACCTCTGCCACCGGCCTCCCCTGGTATGTCTCAGCCACTGTCATCTCCCTGGCGCACATGGAGAGCCTGAGGAGGGAGAACGCAACCTCAGCTCCTGGCGAGCACCCTGAGTTCCTGGGCATCAGGTACACAATGAGCCTGGACCCCACTCTGATGGACCCCTTGCCCATGGCTGCAGAGCCAGAGGACAGGGACGTGCCCACGCTGGCTGGAAGACCCGGCTTTGGGGCTGCTTGTTTCTCCCCTGGGAAGCTGCTGGTCCCTGTGGCCATCAAAGCTGAAAAGAGCAGAGACCCTGGGGGCCGGGAGGGCAGGCAGGGGCTGTGGGCTCCTGAGGGACCCTGGGGCACCTTGTGACACCTGTGATGCTGCCCACAGGGAGCAGAGGCTGACTGGCCTGGCCGTCTTCGTCCTAACGGGGATCTCCATCTTCATGGCACCCATTCTCAAGGTAGGGAGCCTGGCTGCTGGGTCTGGCCTCTTTTCCAAGGCAGGGGGTGACCATATCCTGCAAGGCAGGGGGGTTCCTAACCCTGCCGTCCCTGATCCCATCCATCCATCATGGGAAGCCTGCCCACTAGGTAAGGAGATGTGTGCAGCATGGGAAGGGGCTGGGCTTGAGCGTTGCAGGACGGCTGGCACAAAAGCGCCCTGCTGCCCTGTGTCACCTGGCCAGCCTCCCTGTGGGCATCAGGGTCCCCTGTGGTCCCCAAACACACCCCACCACTACCCTCCACACCACCCCATGGGGGGCTGAGCCTGGCTGGTGTTGGCTCCTGCCGCCGCTGCCACATTAGGCAGAGCCTCCACAGTGTACCCTGGCCACATCTGGGTTACTTAGGGGAAGGTGGAAGGTCACTTTTCCGCCAGCTCAATACTATTTAAAATCCTCATCAATGACACAGTGGGATCGAGTGCACCCTCAGCACATTAGCAGATGACACCAAGCTGAGTGGTGCAGTTGGCATGCCTGAGGGATGGGATGCCATGCAGAGGGACCTTGGAGGACCTGGGCCCATGTGAACTTCATGAGGTTCAACAAGACCAGATGCAAGGTCCTGCAGCTGGGTGGGTGCAACCCCCAATATCAATACAGACTGGGGCACGAAGCGATTGATAGAGGTCTAGGCTCCCCCTGCAGAGAAGGACTAGGGGGTACTGGTGGGTGACAGATGGGACATGAGCTGGCCTCGTGCACTCGAAGGACTAGGGGGTACTGGTGGGTGACAACTGCGACATGAGCCAGCCTTGTGCACTCGAA